AGGGAGTGAAGGCTGAGGCGGGCAGAGCAGGGACGGGTGATGGGCATGGCATAGAGGGGGGGGAGGAGGCCATTGGTGAGGATCTTCGTGAGCTCCACTCAGGAGGAACAAAACACACACACAGACACAATGAATCGTCGATCCCCAGGAGAATATGGGAAACTATGGGAAGTGGGGGGGAAGACAAAAACCCAGAAAATATGGGAACATATGGGGAATCTGTTTATTTGCAATTGGGGCAGGGGATGGAGGAAGGGAGGGAGACTCCACCAGAAGAAAGCTTCTCCGTGCTCTCGGCTCCAGGTCCGTTTCGCGGCCACCGTGAAAGAACAGGGCGTTCTACGCGTCCGTCGAGGTACTGGCTTCAATGTGTTGTTAGATGTTGTAAGACATGTTGTATGCTTTCGTCGTATAGTCCCCCCTTCTTCCCTTCCTTTCCCCCCCTCCCCTCACCCCCGCCCCTCCTTCCCTCCGCCCACGGTGTTTCAAATTTGCGTGGTTGGAGCTTCCATCTGACCTCATTGAAGCGTCCACTTGCATGGGAATTCAGTGTCCTACGCACCCCTGGGTGGATGACTGCATTGCGGTTGTTGCTCGGCGGAGCTACAAGCGTGCTCTTGCCCAGCCCGTTGGTCGGCCCACCCACGAAGCTTCGCAGGGAAGAATGGCAGTATGGCGCAGCAGTTGAGCGTGGTGGTTATGCAGCCATCGTTTCGCTGCGGAATGCTGCGATTGTTTCTGCCGCGTGTCTTGTAGACTTCGACTACCTGCCGCGTCGAGGTCTTGGGTCTTGGCTACGCGCGCTTCTCGCATGCGCAGGGCGCTTTGTTGTGGGCCGAACCCTAGGACGACCACAGCATCCAGAAAGCCACGAACTTCTTGTTAATGGCCATTCACGGGTTTGGTCAGAAGTGAAGCGAGCCCCAGATACCATCAGGGTGATTGTCGAGATTTGATGTCTTCAGGTCGCTCGAAGCCGAAGAAACGCTTACCGTACTGATGATGTGGACGCGGATGCCCCGCGCGATAAAAAGGTTTCCAAGACATGGGAAGTAACACTTGATTACTGTAAACGCATGTGCCTCCCTATTCTCGAAGTGGTGATGTGGCTCCGGAAATGCGGAGGCAAACAGGGGAAATGTGCAAGTTCTGTGATGCTTCGTGACCGTCGTTGCGCCACCACTGGTCCGAGTGCCCACACCGCGATCGACTACGCTACGACATTCGTCAGGGACGTTCCCTTCTGCAAGTTTCTGGATTTCGATTCCCAGGGTTGCCGCGAAGTCAAGTAGCAATCGCCGCTGTCGCGTCTGACTCGGCCATAGCACGTGCTCGTGTTATGTTGGATGCCTGCAAATGGGAGTTGTGAAACAGAGGGCGGCCGTGATGCAAACACACCCTACGTCCAGTGCCTCTACTCCAGTGTCAGCGCGTGGCAATGTTATCGATCCCCCCTGGATGTGAAGCTAGACCCCGTTACCAAGTCGAGACGTGGATGATGGGGGGGCGCAACACGCCCCCTTCCCACACGAGCTCGATCCTGTGGATATCGAGCTTCGGGGAGCTGCTTGAAAAATGGCCGGTCCCACCACATCGCGCGTGTTCTTGTCCGTCCCTTGACGAATGAAGTTGTGTCTGTGCTCATTGCTATTGCTCATGCGTCCTCTCCCCGCGGAGCTCAACGGGCCGATTGCGCGGACGTAGGTGAACTGACCGAACGCACGGGCTTCCCAAACACGTCGTCCACGTCTTTCACGAGCAGGAGGGGGGAGGGAGGGAGGAGCAGGGGGAGGACTAAGCCAGGACTCCCTCTGGACCTGAGACTTCTGGCACTCGGGGTAACCCTGGAGAGGAGGCGACGACGACGACGACGACGACGACAACGGCGAGGACGAGGTCGACGACGACGACGAAGACGACGACGATCGGGGAGCGAAGGGACGACGACGACGATCGGGGAGCGAAGGGGGGAGGCCCTCGGGGGGCCCCCGCAGGGGGCCGAAGGCGAAAGCGTTCCGCCCAAGACTCGGGCCCTGGAGGCTCCCTCCGAGCCCTGGCCACGCCCGCGCCCTGGCCACCAGCGAGGACCCGAGGGCAGGCCCAAGTCCACGACCCTTCCCAAGGGAGGGGGAGGGGAGGGGAGGGGAGGAGGAGGGAGGGAAGGGGAGGAGGAGGAGGCGGAGGTGGAGGAGGCGGAGGAGGGAATGGAAGGGAGGGAGGAGGGAGGAAGGAAGGGAGGAGGAGAGCAGGAGCAGGAGCAGGAGCAAGACGAGGAGGAGGAGGAGGAGGAGGAGGAGCAGGAGGAGCAGGAGGAGGAGGAGGAGGAGGAGAGGGGAGGAGGAGCAGGGAGGAGGAGGGTGGAGGACGGGAGGAGGAGGAGGAGGAGGAGGAGGAGGGAGGAGGAGAGGAGGAGGGAGGAGGGAGGAGGAGGGAGGAGGGAGGGAGGAGGAGGGAAGGGAGGAGGGGAGGGCGGGGGAGGGAGGGGCCCTGCTCGGCCTCCGCCCAGGGGCGAGGCGCCCGCGCTCGCGGGCGCCCCGCTCCCTTTCGCCGAGGCCTGTGGCGTCGGCGGAGCGGGAGTTGCCACGCTTCAAGCACCTCTTCGAGGGGGGCGGGCTGTTCCCGGCGGGCATCTTCGAGGCGGCGCTCGCTTCCGTGGGCCATGTCCATCCCTCCTCCTCCTCCTCCTCCTCCTCCTCCTCCTCCTCCTCCTCCTCCTCCTCCTCCTCCTCCTCCTCCTCCTCCCGTTCCTCCTCCCGTTCCTCCTCCCGTTGCTCCTCCCGTTCCTCCTCCTCCTCCTCCTCCTCCTCCTCATCCTCCGTGTCGGGGCTGGTCAAGAGAGGGCTGATGAGTAGGGGGGGGGATGTCGTGGCCGGGGCCGCCCCTCTGAGACAGCAGTCGTATGTTCGACGAAAAAGAAAGAATACCCCAATAATGCCCCAAAAAGGTCAAACAATACTCCAAAGATAGTCCCCAGACTATGTTTGGACTAAGTTTTGACTATTTCTAGGGTATCTTTTATTTTTCGTCGAAAATCCCCCTGTAGGGGGACAGGCCCGACTTAACAGCAGTCCCCTCTCAGGGAGCGCCCAGGGGCGCCGCCATTGTTGAGAGCAATCCCCTACGCTGCGCTCGGCTATCTGCAGCTATCCACCCCAGGGCCCTGCGTGTTCATGGCGTGCTGTGATCATCCCCAGACATGATCGCGTCGTAAACAATTCTGGACGGAGGTTTTCCATTACTTTCGGCCTCTAGAGGCCCTCGCCGGGCTCCAGGACCGTCAAAAAACGACTCAGGATGAAAAGCTGGCCCTGGGGAAAGCGTCTGGACTTCCGGGGACGCCGTCCTGAAAAAAACAGGACGTCGCATGTCTGGGTCGGGGGCGGCCAAGGTGGGGTGATGAGAAGGGGAGCGGGTCATTATGATTAGGGCCATGATGTCTCCTTCTTTAAATACTCAGGAGGGAAAAACACACAGACACAATTCACCGTCGATCCCCCTGAAGATATGGGAAAATATGGGAATTGGGGGAAAGACAAAAACCCAGAAAATATGGGAAAATATTGGGAATCCTGTTATTTGTGTGTATTTTTAAATCGGGCCTGTCCCTCTACAGGGAGAAGATTAAAACATAGTCCAAACATAGCCTGGGGACTACTTTTGGAATATTTGTTCACCACTTTGGAAAATGTTTTGAGTACTTCTTATGATTCCTGGAGAATCCCCCTGTAGAGGGACTTCAGTGTGTTTATTCGTGTGTCCCAGGGCCCCTTCCAATTCAGGCCTCGGAACAAATTAGCGAACACATGCCACATTCATCCGTCAACGCCTCCCCCTTCCCCCAATGTTCAAAGTTGGCGGTGGGTCTGATGAGATGCACTTCGACCGCAATCTCCCCCGCGCGTGTCAACGTTGAGTTTGGGGGGAGGGGGAGTGTTCAGTAATTGTTTTCCTCTACCATACGTCCCCTGGTCACCCCATCATCCACGCACGTGCCTCGGGCCATGGTGTGCGCACCCCCCCCCCTCGGGGACGCCCCCTCGGGGACGCCCCCGACCTTTTAGCGTGAAGTCGGGCGCGTCCCCCTACAGGGGGGGATTTTCGACGAAAACCAAAAAGTACTCAAAACATATGCCAAACTGGTTAAACAAAATCCCCCGAAATGGTACCAAGACTGTTTATTGACTATTTTTGCATATTCCTCCTGTAAAGGGACGGGCCCGACTTGACTTTAGCGGGGCGCCACCCGTACAGCCAACACCAGACCCTCGCCGGGCAGATCCTGGGCCTAGGACCGCTCAGGAGGGGAGAAAACACAGACACAATTAATCGTCGATTCTCGAGAACATGTTGTATAAAATGGGAAGTGGGGGGAGGAGACAAAAAAAACAGAAAGTATGTGAAAATATGGGGAATCCTGCTCTTTGTGTGTATTTATTTGTGTGTCCTAGGGCCCCTCCACAACACCGGACCCTCGCCGGGCAGATCTTGGGCCCGGGACTGCTCAGCTCAGGAGGGGAGAAACCACACGGACACAATCGATCGTCGATCCCCAGGGAAATCTTGGAAATTATCGGAAGGGGGGGGGAAGGCGAAGCTCCAGCAAAAACACGAGAAGATATGTGGGGAATGTTGGTATTCGTGCGTACTTCTTTGCGTGTCCCCTGGGCCCGTCAGCTGCCCTGGCCAGGAGCGGCGCAGGGTGTGCAGCCGACGCCTTCCTGCCCCGCCCCGGCTTACCTGGGAACCAGGGGGCACGGGTCGCCCTCCTCCCCCTCCTCCTCCTCCTCCTCCTCCTCCTCCTCCTCCTCCTCTCCTCTCCTCCCCTCCCCCTCCTCCCCTCTCTCCTCCTCCCCCTCCTCCTCCTCCTCCTCCTCCTCCTCCTCCTCCTCCTCTCCTCCTCCTCCCTCCCTCCCTCCCTCCCCCCTGCCCTCCCCTCCTCCCTCCCTCCCTCCCTCCCTCCCTCCCTCCCCTCCTCCTCCCTCCTCCTCTCCTCCTCCTCTCCTCCTCCTCCTCCTCCTCCTCCTCCTCTCTCCTCCTCCTTCCTCCTTCCCTCCTCCTCCTGCCTCCTCCTCCCTCCTCTCCTCTCCTCCTCCTCCTCCTCCTGCCTCCTCCTCCCCCCCCCCTCCTCCCTTCCCTCCTCCCCCCTCCCTCCTCCACACTCCCTCCTCCCTCTCCTCCTTCCTCTCCTCCTCCTCCTCCTCCTCCCCCTACTCCTCCTCCTCCCCTCGAGGGTTCGGCGCGGAGATTCGACGTGGGCTCGCTGAGTCGGGCGGAAGTCGGCGCGGATTGGACGCGAGCAGCGACGCGATGGGACACCGATGGGCCCCCCGAGCAGGCAACGTGATTGCCCCCTACGCTCTCTCTCGGCCGCTGCCTCTTGGGGGCGTCAGGGGGTGGGTGAGGCGTCAGCCCCCCTTCCCATCCGCCCAACTTCTGAGCATCGCTCGGACGTGTGCATTTTTCCTTCGGCGAGGACCATCGAGGAGCATCCTTGATCATTTGGCGAAAAAAACACGCACGAGACCGAACAAAAAACACAGGGAATGGACGTCCGAGCGATGGCGAGGCTTGCACTACCGTATCTCCGTGCCGATCTCGAGTTCTTCCCCAGGCCCCGAGGGCACATCCCGTAGATTGCCATCGCACTGGGCGTGACAACCACAGGGGCAGGGATGAGCTCGAGGCTGGTTGCGCCCGCCGCCTTCCCCTCCTGGAGGGGCCGGGGCGGGGATGGAGCGCGAGGGTGACGAGAGGAGAGCGAGAGAGGGACGGCCCCCCCCCTCCCCCCCGCCCGCGACAGGGGGGTACCAAAGTGGTTCGCCCAGGACGCCGGCGGGGCATCCCCGCTCCCACTGCTCTCAGGTTTCCCCCTCGCGAGCGGCGACGTGACGTGACCGCCCGTGATCGCACAGCCGTCGTTTTTGCCGGGCACGGTGATGCAGCGCAGGAGTCGGGAACGGGAGATAAGCGGTCGGGGCAAGGGCGTTCGGCGCTGCCCATCCAAAGACAGTCGCAAAAGCCCCCTTCCCCCTCCCGCTCCTGCTCCTCTTCGGCCTGCTCTTCCCGTCCCCATAGCTCCTCCTGCACTCAGGAAGAGGAAGGAGGATCGAGAGGAGGAGGAGGAGGATGAGCAGGAGGACGAGGAGGAGGAGAAGGAACATCAGGAGGGAAAAACACACACAGACACAATTACGCTACCGAAGAACCCCACATACTTATATTTTGGCTGGAGTGATGATAGCTGAAGAGAAGCATGTGAGAATGATGTTGGTGGCCGTTCCCTGCGCCCCCCCTCTGATGTCGAGAAAATGACACGCCTGCTGCGCCGTGCGAGCCTGCGACGGATAGAGACCGCACCCCACGCGCACCCCCCTCTGTTATCGAAACTTTGCCATGCCTGCCGCGCCCTGCACGCCTGAAACGCATAGAGACCGCACCCCCTGTGCACCCCTTCTGGCGTCGAGAATTCCCACGCCTGCCATGCCCTGCGCACCTGCAACGCATAGAGACCGCACCCCCTGCGCACCCTCCTGGTGTCGAGAAAATGCCGCGCCTGCCGTGCCCTGCGCGCCTGCAGCGCATAGAGACCGCACCCCCTGTTCACCCCCTCTGGTGTCGAGAATTCCCACGCCTGCCGCGCCCTGCGCGCCTGCAGCGCATAGAGACCGCACCCCCTGCGCACCCTCCTGGTGTCGAGAAAATGCCGCGCCTGCCGTGCCCTGCGCGCCTGCAGCGCATAGAGACCCCAACAAACCCCCCCCTTGTGCACCACTCTTGCTGTCAAGAGGTGAACCGCCAACGCCTGCGCGCCCGCCGCCTGCAACGCATAGAGACCGCACCCGATGTGCACCCCTTCTGCTGTCGAGAACATGCCACGCCTGCCGCGCCCTGCGCGCCTGCAACGCATAGAGACCGCACCCCCTGCGCACCCCTTCTGCTGTCGAGAACATGCCACGCCTGCCGCGCCCTGCGCGCCTGCAGCGCATAGAGGCCGCACCCCCTGCGCACCCTCCGGACCCCCTCCCTTGCGCACCCCTCCTGGTGTCGAGAAAATGCGCGCCTGCCGTGCCCGCCACCTGCAACGCCATAGAGTACCGCACCCCTGTGCACCCCCTCTGGTGTCGAGAAAATGCCACTGGCGCCTGCCGTGGCCCTGGCGCCTGCAACGGCATAGAGACCCCCGCACTCGCTGTGCACCCCCTCTGGTGTCGAGATTCCCACGCCTGCCGCGCCCTGCGCGCCTGCAACGCATAGAGACCGCCCCCCTGCGCACCCTCTTGGTGTCGGAAAAGTGCCGCGCCGCCGCGCTAGCCGTGCCCTGCCTACTCAAAGAAAGAAGAGGTTAAGCTGTCCCTTTGATTCAACCACGACCCCTTCTGCTGTCGAGAACATGCCACGCCTGCCGCGCCCTGCGCGCCTGCAACGCATAGAGACCGCACCCCCTGCGCACCCCTTCTGCTGTCGAGAACATGCCACGCCTGCCGCGCCCTGCGCGCCTGCAGCGCATAGAGGCCGCACCCCCTGCGCACCCTCCTGGTGTCGAGAACATGCCGCGCCTGCCGTGCCCGCGCCTGCAACGCATAGAGACCGCACCCCCTTGTGCACCCCTTCTGCTGTCGAGAACATGCCACGCCTGCCGCGCCCTGCGCGCCTGCAGCGCATAGAGACCGCACCCCCTGCGCACCCTCTTGGTGTCGAGAAAGTGCCACGCCTGCCGCGCCCTGCGCGCCTGCAGCGCATAGAAACCGCACCCCCTGCGCACCTTTCTGGTGTCGCGAAAATGCCGCGCCTGCCGTGCCCTGCGCGCCTGCAACGCATAGAGACCGCACCCCCTGTGCACCCCCTCTGGTGTCGAGAAAGTCCCACGCCTGCCGTGCCCTGCGCGCCTGCAACGCATAGAGACCGCACCCCCTGCGCACCCTCCTGGTGTCGAGTGTCGAAAATGCCACGCGCTTCAAAATGCCGTGCCCTGCGCGCCTGCAACGCAGTAGAAGACCGACCCCCACCCTGTGGCAACCCCTCTGTCTCAAGAAAGGGTGCAAACGCGACATGGAGAGCAACCTGCGCGCCTGCAACGCAATAAGACACCGCACCCCCTGCGCACCTCCTGCGTCAGCGTGCCGCGCCCTGCCGTGCCCTGCGCGTCGCGCTGTCGCGCATAGAGACCGCACCCGATGTGCACTCCCTCTGGTGTCGAGAATTCCCACGCGTGCCGCGCCATGCGCGCCTGCAACGCATAGAGACCGCACCCCTTGCGCACCCCCTCCTTGGTGTCGAGAATTCCCACGCCTGCCGTGCCCTGCGCGCCTGCAACGCATAGAGACCGCACCCTCTGCGCACCCTCCTGGTGTCGAGCAAGTGCCGCGCCTGCCGTGCCCTGCGCGCCTGCAACGCATAGAGACCGCACCCCATGTGCATCCCTCTGGTGTCGAGAATTCCCACGCCTGCCGTGCCCTGCGCGCCTGCAGCGCGTAGAGACCGCACCCTCTGCGCACCCTCCTGGTGTCGAGAGAGTGCCGCGCCTGCCGTGCCCTGCGCGCCTGCAACGCATAGATACCGCACCCCCCGCGCACCGCCTCTGTTATGAAGACATTGCCACGCCTGCCGCACCCTGCATTCCTGCGTGCGGCCGCGGTGAGGGACCACCCCCTGCGCACCCCCTGAGCTCAGCTGTGCTGAGCTGGGCTGAGCTATGCTGTGCTGTGCTGCGCTGTGCTGTGCTGAGATGAGCTGAGCTGTGCTGTGCTGAGCTGTGCCGTGCTGAGCTGAGCTGAGCTGAGATGTGCTGAGCAGTGCTGTGAGGAGGAGAGGAAGAGTGAGGTGTGTGTGGGAGTGTCGCGGGTGCGGCGCGGCAAGGAAGAAAACCAAAACCCCACGAAGCATGTGGGGAATTAATCGTCAATCCCTTAAGAAAGTATGGGAAAATATGGGAATTGGGCGGGAAGACAAAAACCGAGAAAATATGGGAAAATATGGGGAACCCTCTTTTATTTGTGTGTATTAATTTGTGTGTCCCAGGGCCCCTTTCGAACAGGAGGAGGAGGAAGAGGAGGGGGGGGGACCGTCCCCCGCGTGCGGTAGGCGACGGGCAAGGCGGGGACCGGGCTGGACTGGTGGGTGTCGAGGCGGTCTCCGAGGAGAGGCCCGATGGTCGGTTGGCCAGCTCGAGGGCCTCGGGGAGGAGGGCACGAGCAAGCAGACAGATCCTCTCCCATCCGAGCCCGAAGCCAAGAGCGATGGGCAGTGGCGGCTGGACTCCGTTTGATGTTTTGTGCCTGGCCCCTGAGATCCTGGCGACTCAGTTTTCTCGAGCCCGGCGTTCTCGCCCTTTTTCGGGGTCCTGGGACCCTCACGGATCGATCCCGCTCGAAAAATGACGCAGAGAGATGGGGTCCGTCGGGCGAAGAGAACTATGCACATGCACCGGTCCTGGCCAGGCCCATCCTTGGCCCCAGGATCGGTGCGTGTGCCTTCCTGGCCAAGGCAGGAGGGCGTATGCACCGATCCTGGGCTCAGGATGGGCCTGGCCAGAATCGGTGTATGTGCATATATTTTTTTCCTCTAGGTCCGGGGCTCCGGGCGCGGATCTTCACGATGCTGCCATTTGTTCGCCACGTCGGATCTCAGGGGCTCGGGCCGGACGACAAGGGGGGGGATTGGGAAAGGGGGGGCCACGACGTCTGCTGCACGCAGCTGGTTTCGGCCCCACCGAGGGGCCCATGCCTCGGCGCATGGCCGCCTCCGGCGCCGGGAGGCGCCGGGAAAATCAGCTACCCTGAGTTCCGACGTAGCGAAAAAATTGCAGCATCGTGGAAATCCGCGCCCGGGGCCCCAGACCCCATCTTTCTGCGTCATTTTTCGAGCCGGATCGATCCGTGAGGGTCCCGGCGCCCGACCTTGGAACGCCCGGCTCGAAAAAATTGAGTCGCCAGGATCTTCTCAGGGTACGTGAGCTGATTCTCAAACCCCCACTTTGCTATCCCCCCCTTCCGCCCGGCCCGAGTGGCACGTCGAGTGCTCGCGGTCTTGCTCCCAGGCCGCCTGGCCCAGAGGGCCCTTTGGAGGCCAAGGGCGCTTGCCACTTGTGGCGTTAAGTCGGGCGTGTCCCTCTACAGGGGGAATATCCAAAAATAGTCAAAAAATAGTTTGGGAACGATTTTTTGACTATTTTTGACCACTGAGTTTTTTTTACTATTTCTATTATTGTTTCGTCGAAATCCGCCTTTAGGGGGACACGACCTAACTTTAGCGCCCTTCCAGGCCGCGCTGTCGCTGGGCCAGTTTGAGATGGTCAACGGGCGGCAGATGCCATTCGACCAGGACTCGGCCGCATCCCTTGTCAACTTCACTTCTTGTTTCTGTCCTCAGTTTGCCCATGCATTTCTCGACACCTCGGCCAGACGCGGCTCGAAACATGCGTGTTGACCATGTCTGGGAGGTCATTTAGGATTGCTGTTCGGCGGATGACCAGCAACGCCATTGCGTCATGTATTTGATTTAGTGCGCAAGCAGTATGCAAGCCATCATCGACGCATGCAACATGCATTTGGGGTGTCGGACGCTTCTGTGTGGCCACCTCTACGGATCAAAAGCGATTCGCGTTTCGTGCTGCCAGTGACGTGCGTGCGCAGCAGTGCGCCTAAGTGACGGGCGTGCAACGTTGTGCGTGCGAGGCGTCGCAATGGCAACGCAGGGCTATCGTGGGTGAACATTGCACCGCAAGCGCGATGTCAGTGTACGAACGAACAAACGAAGCCGTGCCATGACGGCACATCGGCTGCAGTCCAAATGGTATGTGAAACGTGCATGCAGCTTCACATTGGTTCGCTTGCTTACTTCACGTGGGAAACGAGGGTACATGTGGGTAGCTCATCGGTACGAAAACGAGCGAGCCCAGCGGGGCAAAATTCGGACATGGGGGAAAGGTTGCCAGCCTGAAGCCTACCTTATCTCTAAGATTGGCATCGCCTTATCCCGGTTGATATTATCATACAGATGCCCTCATATTCTGAGGCACATATTTGACATTGTCATCGCCTTTCCTTGTCAACATTAGGGATAGGGATGGGCTCGAGGCTAGTTAACTAGGGGCCGCCTCAAGGTAGGGCCCAGTCTGGTGGAAGTGGGCATGGGCAGGAGAGAGTGTGCAATGAGCCCGGCCGCTAAAAACCGAACGCATCGCGCATCCGCATCAGCCCATCCGAGAACGATGTGTTGCTGAGCTGCGACGAGATGGGAAGGGGATGAGGTAGGGCACCGTGCAGACTTTGCATCGAAGGAAGGGTTGACCAAGCGGCCCTTCGACGCAGCGTAACTACGGTAATAATATGGAATGGCCTTCGGCCTATCCAGCCACCGTGCCTGGCCTGTGGGAATGAAGCCTATTGGAGGTTCGTTGGGCGGCCTCTCGAGGGGCTCTTCGAGGCAGTGTTGAAGCCTCTCGGAAGCCGCGTTGGGGCCTCTTTTGGGGCCTCTTGTGGACCTCTCGTGGGGGCCTCTTGGGGCCCTCTTGTGGGGGCCTCTTGGGGCCTCTTGGGGCTCTCTTGGGGGCCTCTAAGGGCCTCTTGGGCGCTTCTTGGGACCCCCCAGGGGCCTCTTCGGGCGGAAGGCTCGGTATTTCGGTTCGTGCTCCCTCTCTTGGGCTCCTTTTGGTGCTGTCTTGGGTCCCTCTTGGGCCGTCTTGGGCGCCTCTTGGGCCGTCTTGGGGCGCTCTGAGGCCGTTGTGCCGCTCTTGGAGAGTTCTTGAGGGCCTCTAGGGCCGTCTTAGAGCGCTTGAAAGCCGATCAGGCCATAATACACCCAACTCCTTCAGAAACCGATGGAAAATCAGTGATTGTTGCCTCTTGGGCCCTCTTGGGGGGCTTCTGGGAGGCCTCTCGTGGCGTCGACGTCTTGGAGCGATCTTGTGGCGACGTGGGGCCATCTTTGATCTTTTTTGGGGCCTCCTGGAGCCATCCAGGCTGCTTCCGGCGGGGCCCGGGAAAGCATGGAAAACGATGGGTCGGGGCCGTGAGATTTTGGTTGCAGCAGCAGCAGCAGCAGCAGCACAGCCCTCTCAGTGCTGCGTGAGCTTGGGGGCACTCCACTTCGTAACTCTCCGTCCTCTCCGTGTCCTCTCCGTCCTTCCCCTCTTGCCCCCTGTTTCCCCGCAGCCTCCGGCTTAGATGCGCGCCGACGCCCAGGATGTCGCGTGCCCCGTCCCTCCTCTCCTGCCTTGCCGCAAAAGTGCACCTCCTCCCGTCACCATCGCCCGTCTGAGTGACGACAAGCCCTCTCAGTGTTGCGTGAGCTTGGGGGCACTCCACTTCGTACCAGAGGCACGGTTGCGGATTTGCTTATCGGCCTGTGACTAGCAGACCGTTTCAGGCCCCGAAGCAATCCCGCGCGGCGCTAGGATCTCCCAGAGTAACTAGCCCTACAGGGTCACCAGGACCCTCTCCTGATTCAACGTCCCTCTCCAAGTGCCTCTTACTGTGGTCGTCGTCGTCGTCATCGTCCTC